TCTATTCTGCATGTATAATTTAACAAAGTATTATTTTCGCGTATCAGTTTACATAATATTTAATCTCAGACGCATATGTATAGAAATCCAAACGTGAATCTCAAATTATATTTAAAGAAAAGAAAATGAAATAAAATAATAATTCAATTAACAATTTTTCCTCATTATGACGATCTACAGATAAGTTACGTTTATTTCACATAAATATACAGATGGTACATAAACATCTTATTTTTATCTTATATGTTTAAATAAAATTTTTATATTTAAAAAAATCAGTATTCTATACTTGTTATAATTTTATTTTACTTTCTCTCTTTTTCCTTATTTTTTGCTAATTATTCGATACATTCTAAAATAAAACCCACTATAATTTGTTTAAAAAGTTTATAATGAAAGATTAATTATATAAAATTATTAATTTAGCTTCATAAAACATTCTTAATTGTTTTTTTTTTTTATTTTATATAAATTTAATAATTACAATAAATTGAACATATATATTAATTCCAAGATTAAATATATCCTATACCTATTCATTTTAAAGATCGATATGACATGTTATGTCCCTATGTTTTTCATTTGTTACATTTATTCATGTTACATATTCTTAAGCCCGGTTTTCACACGCAATGATTAGTGGCGCCAACTGACTGGCATTCATTGGCGCCAGAACCGACTAGCAAACTCACAAGTATTTACACAGTAATTGGCGTATAATATGAAAAATATTTAACATTTATTAAACACACAGTAAATGACAGCAAGCATATAACCTCAGAATTTGAGGTTATATGCTTTGGCCAATAGTCGCCAGTAAACGCCACATTACTAGCGTCAGTTTGTATCAAGTGTTTACACTTGCATTTTTACTGGCGTTAGTCGACTGGCGCGGCCTGGCGCCACCAATCATTGCATGTGAAAACCGGCCTTTAAGGACCTAAGATTTATGCATCGCGCATAATCGCATAATTTGTAAAAACCTATTGAAACAAACTCTTTTCACTATTCTAAGTGATATTCTATATACAGAGTGTATCATTTTAAGTGATTCAGCTGAATATCTCTTAGGGCCGGTTGTTCCAATTTATTGATAAACTAACTAATAGTTAAATCATATGTCTATCCTTGTTTTATTTAAAGGAAAAACAAAGACACATATATGATTTAACTATTAGTTAGTTTACCAATAGGTTGGAAAAACCGGCCCTTAAAGTAAAAGAGATTTTTGTTTTAGACAAAACTTGTTTGGTTCGAAGGGGGACATAAGATAGTGTCATTGGTTTGACCATGGATGGTCGTTTAAAGCTCACGTGAACG